CTATCCCAGATCTCCCATCCAGTCTCCAACTGACTCCCCAGTGCTCAGCTTCCTTCCTGTCCTACAGGACTCCAGGGAAGAGGATGTTCAGAGGCACAGCAATCTACTCTGACTTGCTCTATTTACTTATTTTTATAGGAATGTGTGTTTTGTTCCTCTCTGAACACCAATTGGCTGTTGCTTCTTCCCACTGTGGATACTTTGACACCCAACAGGCTGCCTGTTTTCACCAGGTCTTTTGAATCCAGTTCCATAACCGCTGCCTAAAATGCCTTCTTCCCACACGACTCTTCCTTGGTGAATCACAGCCAGCTCTTTTCCTGTCTCCGGGAACCCCACAGCACTTAAGAGGAACTCTCTTCTCCTGTTATCAGGGGAAACACATAATTATCAAAAAACACACCTCTTCTAACAAGACACCGGCTTTATCTACACAGAGACCAGCAGTTCCTGTTCTTGCCCTGACATGCTGTTCCACCACGCAGGCCGGTCATTTAGGAATTTTATAGCCATGGGTCAAGATGTCAGAGTTTCTCAAGCTCCTGCAAGCTACAGACTTTAAATCGCGCGCCATGGGAGCAGCACGCCAAGGTCACGAGCACCAGGCTGCAGAGGCACAACCTGCTCGGTCGAGCTCCAGGTCTACACTCCTGGCCTTGCACGCTGTCTTGTGCGTGGGAGTTGCGGTTTCAGTTGCCAGTTTTCACACACCTTTCCCCAGATCTCTAAGGCAACAGAGGAAAAGCAGCAGGCCAGAAGGAATCGCCCTGCAGGAAGGACTCAGCTCTGTGGTTAGGATCCCTCTGAATTAGACAAGACAAACCTTAACAACACAGATCCACAGAAGGGAACGATGGGCCAGCCACAGAGGCTGGGACACAGAGAAACAGCATTTGAGACCAACACCAAACAGTCTTTTAAAGCCCAGTTAGGCATTGCTAGAAACTCATCCCATGGCTGGGGGTAAAAACAACAGCTAACTGGTTTCACACCATTACCAGTTCAGCAAGGAAACCAAGATAGGGCTGCAAAGGAGAAACGCACGCTTGAATCTTATGCCAGATGCCACAAAGTAGGCTCGCTGGGACTCAGAGCAGCAGCAAGGCAAGAAAACAAGGACTACGCAACAGACAGAGCATGACCATCGCAGCTCACACCTTCAGAGGCAATCCACGACAGCTCAGGGACACCCAGAAGCAAGCAGCGACTCCTACAAAGCTAGGGGCTACAAGCAGACTCAAGCAGGTACAAAAATCCAGCCAGGTGGGAGCCTACATAAAGCAGGCACTTAGACAAAGCCTCAAGTATTATTAGCGTGAAACACGGCAGCCTCTGCAGCCAAGCCCCAGGCAAAGGACTGTTAAACGCTTTGGAGACATCTCTCAGCCCGTCCAAGATTGAAGGCAGGGCAGCAGCCAGGAGACCCTGCACTGCAGGGGGCTGGTGGGGAAGGGGCAGAGCCCGGCGTGGAGCCACGGCCTTAGGTGCTGCTTTCACTGCGGAGGGACAGACTCTGAGGCAGAGCAATTCCATCCTCTGTGTTTTGCCCCCCTGGATCTTCATTCAAAGAATTTCACTGCTTTTGCATGAAAACAATACCTCTTGCTCTCATCTGAGCCTGCTCCTTATCATTACCCAACCTGGAGAGGTAGTTCTCCACATCTGACGCTACCAAAGCGATCAGAAAGGAAGTCAAACAGGAGCCATGAGCATCAAAAGTACAGCAAAGGAAGCGGGATCCCATTCCCAAGGAGCCAGCTTCACAATTTGGGCGAGTGAGGAAGAGCTGGGGTAAATCTGCTTTGCAGGAGACATCAGCACCCCTGTGATAAGGATGTGGCCTCACTCAAGTCAGGGGAAATTCAGCTCTGGATTTCCCAGGAATTAGTTGTCAGCCTCTGCAGGAAAGGAGACAGCACCAACAGGATACAAAGCAATTAATCTCCCAAACTGCCCTGGATTCAAGCTCGAGAGGCAAGCAGGCTCCTTCCCCTCCTCCTTACCTTCGCACCCGGTGGTGTAAATGCTGATGCTGACGTGTTATAAGGGCACTTTCCCAAACGGGGCCACTGTGACTACTCCTATACCAGCCCACAGCTGGGTGCCCCGGGTAGGGCGGGCTAGTGAAGCCATGGTCCGATTCCGTCTCCGCAGCCAGCGACGAGGCTGAGCTCCCCATGGCTCCCCCCTACCCAGGCCACGCGGAGGTTTATCCTAGGTTAGGTCCACGCCAGCGGTGCAGGCAGCTCGGGTGGGACAGGCGAGGCGCCGCAGCATGGGCTGCTGTAAAGATCCCAACACACAGCAGAAAGGAAGGCCGCTTCTGATCAAAAGTGGAAAAATAAAGAGAAAGGGAAGAAAAAAAAAAGAGAGAAAGAAAAAAAAAAGAGAGAAAAATATAAGGTATAATTTAAGCAACAATCCTCCGGTTTTAGAAGCCTATTAATGCATGCTCTGACCAGGATTCCCATAACAGCACTTATTAGAGTGGCAAGCGCTATTTTACTGAAGTTTTGTTGACTGAACATGAGTGATATGGGGGGGAAAGGCTCTCCCCAGTTAAACGCCATGAGTCCCTGGGCTCAGGAAGGTGCGTGACTAGTGCAGGAAAGTGCACCAGAGCCCAGCAGAAAGCCTTGACACCATATGCAGCTGCAGAGAAGGGGGCAAAACGCCTCACCCAGAGCCCAAACCAGCAGCCCGTGGGCATCACAAGCACAAAAAGATTATTCTGAAAGCTCCAGGCTCTAACCAGCTTCGCAATTACATCAGCTTGAGAGTCTGCCTGACGTGAGGAAGTTTGGGGTTTGTATATGTAAAATGAAGTATCTTTTCCTGTTCTCTCTTAACACCAGAGAAACACTGAAAGCAGAGGCTGGGCATCTGCACATGCACCTTTTCTTGGCTGTGCTGCATGGTGCAATGAAATACTTCCTTTCACCTCAGGCCAATTTTTGGCAGCTATTCAGGGTCCCCCTCTCTTCAGCGGAGGTGGGGCTTCATTCATTCTTCCTTTTCTCCCCGTGTCTTTCCTACCTTTCAATTTTTTTTTTCCCCTCTTTGAGCAGTCTCAAAATTAAACCACAAAAACATCTCTTGTCCTAAACTTTTAGTATTCTAAAAGTTTCAACATACAGCTCCTTTATGCAAAAAGGCATGGCAATCGGGATGGGCATCAGGAGGAATGCATCAAGGGAACATTTGTCGGAGCCAAAAATGAGCAATGAGGAAGATGAAAAGAATTAGCACAACTGAGATTATTCAGTTATCCACCAGGATTTAGAAAGATGAATGAACTGTAGAAAGACGTTTGTGAAGGAGCTACTTGGTGCCGTAAAAAGGCTGAACAAAAAGACTATTAAAATACAGTTTTTCAATCCAAGGATTGTTCTAAGGGATCAAGAAAAGCTGGAGGAAAAACCAGACCCTGGAGTTCAGGGAGAAGGTGCAGCTTTGCTAGGAGCTTAATACCTGAACGTGTATGTAGTAGGTCATTAAGTGGAGAACATTAACACCTCCTTCTTGGTCTCTTCTCCATAACATGCAAAGTCTCTCTCTTTTTTTTTTTTTTTTTTTTAAGCCCCCAAATAGTATTTCTCTCACCTAAATTTCCCCCCTGTAGTTGGTCTGCCTGGCTGCTGTACACCAGCCACCCCAGAGACAAGACACCTCCACACTCTGCTTCCCAGCCACCATCAAGGTCCAGCCTAACTGGGTCCCCGGCATTTCCCCCTCTCAGTTGCTGTCAGTTGGTTTGTAACAAACTTGATTTTCCTAGTTAAATGAAAAAAAAGTAACATGAGGGGAAGGGTATTCCCACGGATTATGAGTTTGAGGGATCAGTTTAGAGGGATATCAGTCATCCCTTGCCTATTAAGACTTTCCACTTCAGCTTCCCCCCATGGCTTCCCCAAACACGTAGCCACAAAGGGCACAACCAAGGGGCCTGGCAGGAGAACAAACTTCAACTCTCATTTTGAGATTTGGAATCTATTAGAAGGGAAGGGAAGCGGGATGGGGAGGAACACGGCCATGTATGCTTCACCACGGGCAGAGCTAGAGAAGGCAAGAAGTTCAGCCACGTTAATAACCTTTTTTCTCCCCCTCCACCGAGCAGAGCTACGCCACCGAATAGTGCGATCTACAACAGGCTGGGTGGAGACCGCATCCTCAGCTGCTTCCAAGGCTGGAAAAGCGGAGCACTTCGCTGCTTCCTCCAAAAGGAGGAAGCGCCAGTTTTAGCTCGCTACAAGAGGCGAGAGACGTGTCTGCTGCCCGCACTACTGCTGGCTTCCAGCGTGTTGCCAGTTTCTTGGCCCTTCCTCCTCCTCCAGATCCGCACCAGGGAGGCTGAGCAGCCCGTTCCATGCAAATACGCTCCGGCAGGAAAAGCGCCTGGGAATCCTGCTTTAAAGCTATGTTGTAAAATTCCACGGTGGGTGGAGTTGGGAAGAGGAAAGGATCTATAAATAGGTTCAGGATAACCTAGCTAAGTCACAGTGATCTCCAAGACTGTCTGGCCTACGTGGGCTGCTTGGCTGCAAGTGCTGCACAAAATCGGATTTCTCTGGGCAAAGCAGTAAATCTTTCTCCAGGGTCACCTTTCATGCCAGGAGAGGGCAGCCAGGTAACAATATTTAGGGGAGGACAGTGGTGGTGGGCAGGGAGAGCCAGCTTGAAAACGCAAGGAGCAGCATCATTACAGCTCCAAGCAAAGCATGTGTCTGCTTGCTGTGCTGATTCAGGAGATGCCCTGGCTGACAGCAAGTGAAGAGCCTCCAAGAAGTGAAGGCAAGAACGAGAAGGACACCCTAGCATGGGAAGGGGTGAATTAAAGCCAGCTATGAGAAAGGAAGCTTCTCTGGAAGTGCTCAGCCTTATCTTTGAGGACTGTCTCCCATTGAACAGATGCCCCAGATGCTTCCACAAAACAATGGATTTCCTTTCCACCTCCGAGTTGCTCATGCCCAATTACCCTGCTCTGTCAAACACAAGTCAGCCCCACCAGCATCAGCACTGCCTTGAGGAGCAGGCACTTGCAACGAGCTCAGGAGGTTCCTCCTGCTGCCAGGACCACAGACTGGTCACCTCGAAGCCTTCGAGGCAACCCCTAGTCCCCAACACCGACCAGCCGTGCGGACCCCTTGGGCTCTAGCTCTTCCATCACACCACTGCAAAGCAAAGGGAAGAGGCAAGGCTGGAGATCTGTGTCTGTCCAACCCGTTCTTCCTTGTTCCGTCTGGCTCTGCAGAAGATTTTGGCTCTGTGCACCGGCTCCTTCATCTCCTGCTACTCCAAGAAGGAAAGGACCTAGTCCAAGCACTGCAAAGTATATGGGAATACCTTGGTATTTCAAAGAGGGGTAACAGGATCAGAGCCAAGCTCGTTTCTTTAGTAGCAACAGGGAGAGATGGAGGTTCCTGCTGCTCCAGCCCTCAGAGGAAAGCAATGTGGCAGATTGATCCCAGTTGGTCCAACGTATGGTCAATCTCACAAAACAACACGATTCCCCCCTACCCCGGACACTGTCTTTTATTAATTCATTCACGTAGCACAAACCAGCTCAGCTTCTGCCCCAGTTTTCCAGGCTCCAAGAGGTTCTCAGCCTGCCAGGCTCCTGGCCACAAGCTGGTCACCTTGGCAATTCCTGCAGCCCCGCGAGCAGCAGCCATCTCCCCCGGTGAGCATCGGAACAGCAGCAGAGCCAGCAGGCAGCCTGTGTCCGAGGAGCCGGAGCCGCAGCAGAGCCGGGGCAGGCGCAGGGGGTGGCAAAGGTGACAGGCCTGACAATACCTAAGGTGACGTGGCCGGAGGCCTGGCCACACGTCTCATCAACACAGCAAGGAACGGCAGCTCCAGCACTGCGTGTGTGACACACGGTCAGGCTGCTCTCTGCAGCGCAGGGGGACACGACCCGAGGATACACGGTGCCATGCCCTGGCACAAAGCATAGCCCGACTTGTATACACCATGCTAAGAGGACCCTCATAAAAGAAGAAACGTTGGGGCAGGACGGGCAAACCTGCCCTCTTCTTTCACGAGGAGGGAAGACAACAGACCAGCAATAACACATCCCTCTCAAAGGGAAGTAGGACAGCCTGGAAAGCGGAGATGCCAACCCAGCAAGGGCTCCGCTGCTCCCACAGCTGCCAAGCGGGACCCCTGCTACAGAGCAGCCAAGCGCACTGGAAGGCTGCATGCCAGTGGTTAAGTTCCTTCACAACACTGGTGTCTTGGTGACAAGAAATGTGGTTTCACTGCCCTTTTCTCCCTGCCCTCGCCCGCCGCGGCGGCACAGCAGGAAACACGGCAGCGCAGGCCTGCTGCACTCGCGGCAGCCAACGAGGGTGCCAGCAAATCCCAGCTCCTTGCAAAGCTGCTGACTGGGAGCGATAGGAAGCCACCTCCAAGGGCAGATTGAGGCGTCAGTAAAACGGGAAGCACGACACACTAACCCGGGACGTGGGAGGTTGTGTCAGCCCTCACGCTCTACCACTGAGCTCTCCTGCGTGCCTCGGGGCAGAGCCTTGACTCAAAACACTGCCCTTCCTTCCAGGGCTGAGAAGCGCTCACGTTCTCAAGGTGCCAGCACGACACGCACGTGCCGCAACAGGGAGGAGAGGGAGACGGAGGGAAGGGGAAAACTTGTCCACCCCATTCTTTATTGTAGGGTAGCAGGTCTGCCAGAAGAGAGGCCAGTCACATGTTTGGGCCCCAGACCAAAGCTCCGAGCCTGGAAGCTGCAAAGGAGCTATTTTCCAAATGGCAGAGAGAAACACGGTGGGTGCACTACTTTGATATCAGTAGGTAAAATTAACTGCCTCTAAACAGCTTGCCAGGTGGGATACTGGAGAGGTAAGAAGTAAATTTAACCTAGAGTCCTAATACAGCCCAAAACAGGGCCACTCTTTAGCAAGGTCCAGACCAGAGGCACAGCTTTCTGGCCATGGACATCAACATGAAAAGGTGAGTTTGAGGCTCTTTATCTTCTTTAAGCTACCTAATCTGAGCTGGTTCTGGTCCAACCTTAACAGAGGGAAAAAAGATAAACCCCGGATTTATCTTGGCCTGAGCTGTATTTCCTGGTCAGCACAAGCCCTCCATAAGTATACAAGCAGAGGAAGGGATGCCCAAAGCCTTAAGCAAAACAATGATATGGAAAATAAACTTATTTTAGCCAACTTTGCACCAAAGCAACTAGTGTTGAAGTCTGGAAGAAGTTCCCTCTTCTGTTTTGCACAGCACACTGGAAACCAGTGGCAGATTATCCAGAGCACTACTGCAAATCTATCATGGCCATTTTGAAAGAGGAGATTAGA